TCCAAAGCTTTTCCATCCCAGATCACTTGCAAACTTCCTCTTTTAGCTGGACATCCCCTCCCCAACCATTTCTACTGACCTTACCACTCAGCTTCTAGCCTCAAACCCACCAGTGAAACTTTCCAGAATGACGGAAAGACTGGGGAATGGGTTTATTTGAAGCCATCATTCTTTGGTTTTAATCAAAAAATTTTAAATATTTTAAGAGCAAAATTGCTATATAAAGTAAGCTAAAATATAACTGCAACTTTAGGGGAACTTCATTACACATGGTATCGATTCCCAGCATGTGATCGGCCTGTTTTTATTCTCCTTTGCTCTTCTCTCAGAAAGTAAGAATAAAATGGCCTTGCTTAAATATAACAACCTAACCTCTTGTTACTTCCTTGTATTAGATGGGTTTCTAAAATTTACCTGGAGGTCTCTCAAGCTGGCTCTGTGGCTAGGATGCTTAGAGAATGTGTTCTTTATAACCACTCATATCAGGTTTGCTTTTTATGTTTCAGGAGGCAGAAAATCCCTTAAAGATTTTCTTTGTAAATAAGACCTTTTACATAGAACTGATTATATATTTCACCTAAGATGGGGAAGCTTTTGCCCAAGAGCAGTGTGCAGGGCTTGAACCTGACTCAAGGTCACCAATTAACCCATTTTTTTTAACGTTTATTTATTATTGACAGAAAGAGACAGAGCATGAGCATGGGAAGGGGCAGAGAGAGGGGAGACACAGAATCCAAAGCAGGCCCCAGGCTCTGAGCTGTCAGCACAGAGCCCAACGCGGGGCTCGAATCCACAAACCGCGAGATCATGACCTGAACCCAAGTGGGATGCTTAACCCACTGAGCCACCCAGATGCCCCGCAACATTATTCCGGATGTTTCTGTGAGGGTGTTTTTGGATGTGATTAACATTGCCCTCCACGGTGTGGGCAGGCCTCAACCAAACAGTTGAAGGCCCAAATAGGACAAAAGCTGACCTCCCCCAGGCGAGAGGGAGTTCTAGAGCCGACTGCTTTGGGGCTTGAACTGCTTTGGCTCCTTCCCGAGTATCCAGCCTCCTGGCTCACCTGCAGATTTGGGTTTGCCAGCCTCCATAGTCCCGTGGGGGTAATTCCATTGGATAAAATTCTTTCTCTGTATACACATATCCTTTTGGTTCTGCTTCTCTGGAGAATCCTGACTAACACACAGATCTAGGCCTGAGTCCTCTGCTATATATTTGCTGAATAATTTTAGGAAGTCAGTTCACCTCTCTGAGCCTGAATTTCTTCATCTATAAAGTGAGATGTTTATATTACCTTGAAGTGTCCTGGAGAGAACGTATGCACATCACGTGACGTAGCATGGGCACTGAACTAAGGGTAGCTTTTAAGAGGGAACACTAGGAACTTGAAACTAAAGAAACTATTTCTCCTCCCCTTAAGGAGCTTATACCCCTTTTGCAGGAAACAGAAATAACAATGGGGGTGCTGTGTGCCAATACCAAATCAGTAGCCCTACCTGTTCAGGCTCTTGGGTATGAAGAAAACCAAGCACCCCACCCCCAAATGTGCCACCTTGGTGTAAGGATTGTCTCGAGCTAAAGGAAATTAGCTCTCTCCCCTCTCCCAGTCTAAAAGCAGAACATAAATTTCCATTTATAAAGGTGTGTCTCTTGCCCTATCAAGATGAGAACTCCTCCAGAGAACTCTGAGCCCCAGAGGGGACTCTTATTTGCATGACAAACCTTTCTGAACAACCCTATTTACTTTTCCTTCCCTTAACTTCCCATAAGTTACCGCCAGAAACCCCCAACTCCTTTTCCTTTGTCTCGCCTAAAATGATATGTGTACACATATATACACATATATGTGTACACATATATACACATATACACACATATATACATACATACATATACATGTGTGCGCATATGCCCCAAATACTAATTCCCTCCTTGAATCATGTCTCTTTGCAAACTCCAGTGCATTCTGATATAATGAAATCTTTTCTTTCTTTCTTTTTTTTTTTTTTCTTGTTAATCTGTCTTCTGTCAACTTTATTTGCAGGTCCTCCAGCTATTGAATGTGGGAAGGTAGAGAAAAAGAAAGGTTTATCTCCCCTATGGTATCATTCAAAATATAGGAGATTTTGTGATTAAGGCTTGACCTCTCTGAACAGATATTACCAATCTCCAGTCTCAAACCTATTCTTCTCCTCTTGAATTGATGGTATATCGACTTAGAGAAAATAATGACAAAGATATTTAGACGAGTAACACTGGCAGCTAATTAGGTAGAATAGCTGGAAAAGTCTATTTAAGAGCAAAATAGTCCAAAAAAAAAAAAAAAAAAAAAGTAAAGGGATCCATAATCATAGGTGGATTATAGTCAGTTTATTTTTGTTAGATGTTGAAATTAGATCTGTTGAGTTATATATTGTCTGAGCTTCAGTTTTGCTCATCTATAAAATTCGGTTAGTGGTATAGGGGGAATGCAGCGAAAGCTCGAGTCCTTGAATAATGGAAAGACAAATGGTTGACAGTCATGGAGTCAAAAACTTTACCAAACCCCAGGCTAGGTGGTCCCAAGGCAAAGACAAGTGGAGTTAACAGAGAATCATATTTTATTTTTATTTTTTAAGTTGATTTATTTAAGTAATCTCTACACCCAAGGTGGCAGTCATACCCATGACCCTGAGATCAAGAGTCTCATGCTTTTCCAACTGAGCCAGCCGGGTGCCCTGAGAATTGTGTTTTAATGACAGAGATGACAGGGTAAATGGAGAAAGGAGATTGATTCTGGAAAAACTGAAAGAACAGCAGAAATACTGGGAACCTCCTGATTCTGACGGCCTGTTCAAGAATTTAATCTTCAAAATACTTTCCCAACCTCATTTTTAGTGAAGGAAGTTATATTAAAAAGAGTAATATGGAGAACTTGTGCCTCTATGAACCAGAATAAATCTAGTTTCTACAACACTCAGGGTTGGTCGGGGCAAAGGAACGTGGATACTCCTGATGTCAGTGACCTAGGGCTACTACAACTGGCCGTCCTGACCTTAAGAGGATTCTAGGTGAGCCCAGAAGACAAGATATTTTGTCAGACCCAAGTTCAACCATGTGGCCCTCATGGAGTATATAACATACTGTTTGTTGATCAGGCCAGTACCCAAGGAGGAGTCAGCTGTGTGCATGCCTCCGTGCAGGGATTCTCCAACCTCCAGTTTACAGATGAACACAGAAGGGGCCATGGAAGCCTGCAGAGTATGCGTTCCTTTTCTGCTCTTTTCCTGCACAGGTGCCAATGCATTAAAAGTGAGAGCAAAGGGGAAGCCTGTGTTTTGATTAGGTGCCGAGCAATATTTGCACTCTGATTCCTGTCCTAGAGTACAGAGAAAGGGATTCTACAAACTTCTATTTGGCGAGGGGATTTCTTGTTACTCCCTAAATTCCTAACTTCAGCTCAGCTATCCCATCAGTACAGAGGGGTTTTCTTCACTGAGTCATAAAGATAACCTCCAGGCTGTCTCCAGAGGTAAGAGGAAGTTGCCTTATATTAGCATTTTTAACGTATTTTTAAGAAGTGCAATTCATTTAACAAAAACTTAATACACATCAATTCTTTATGTTTATTGCTATTAATTTTTCAGAGAAAAAAAAAGGTCTCAACCCTCAAAGATTTTATAACTGGGAATCAAACATAAAATTAACTAAGGCTATACACAAAGTACACTTATATTATTGATTTTAATAAAGGAGCACTAACCTTCATGGAGGATCTCCTATGTTCCCGGTACTGGCATAGAAACTTTCATTTACCCCTCTGATTAGGCTGCCCACCTCGGTGAGAGATACTATCTGCATTTAACAAAAGAAAGCTCTAGGCTCAGAATGGTTAAGGAACTAGGTAAGTGGTCCTCCCACCCAGAGTTTTGATTCAAATTCCAGGAATCGTTCTACTACATCAAACGTGATGATAAATATCACAAGCTTTTATCAAGAATGATCACTGGATTTTGCTGTGTCCAAAAGCACACCATCTCCTTGGCTTCCCTGAACAGCCCCACTCCCAGCTGGACAAGTACAAGGCCTTATAAGTACAACTCGTCTGCATTCCATTGGCATAAATTCCTATCACACAGCCTTTTCCCTTCCCTATTTCCCATCCTCTGGCTTTTATTTTTTTTATTTTTTTATTTTTTATTTTTTATTTAAAAAAATTTTTTTTTCAACATTTATTTATTTTTGGGACAGAGAGAGACAGAGCATGAACGGGGGAGGGGCAGAGAGAGAGGGAGACACAGAATCGGAAACAGGCTCCAGGCTCTGAGCCATCAGCCCAGAGCCCGACGCGGGGCTCGAACTCACGGACCGCGAGATCGTGACCTGGCTGAAGTCGGACGCTTAACCGACTGCGCCACCCAGGCTCCCTACCATCCTCTGGCTTTTAAAGAGGTAGTTGCCCTTCAAGGAATTTATTTTTTTTTTATTTTTATTATTTATTTATTATTTATTTTTTTTTGCCACTAACAAACAGCAAAGGCCCTTTCTGAAAACTTTGCTGTCCAGTAACACCTCTGTGGAATCACTCAACACATGGCAATTTTTGTGGGACCATATGTTCCTGTTGGTTTTGTTCTCGGAGTGGTCACAAAGCTAAGTGCAAGGCCAGGAGTGAAAAAGAAGTTAAACTGATAGTATGACTTTCTATCAGCTTTCTCTGCTGTTTTGCGGTGGGTGAGCCCTCACACATCACATACACGTACACACCTTTATGTGATATTTATAAGTGCATCTGAGAAGAATGGAAGTTTCACGTTGACCAGTTAAGGTAGACCATGACTTGGCCATTCTAAACGTCACGCAGATAATGCCCAAAAGAGCTCATCCCCAAATCACATGTTGGCTCTCAACTGATCATTTTGTTAACGTTAAGATTAGACAGGAAATGTTGTTTTTAGAGAGTCTGGAATTTTAATAAGTCTAAAGACTCCTGATGGTCTTATTTATTTTATTTGCAGGGTTCCCCAAAGGAATTTCACGGCGCACTCCACAGCGAGAAGTAAGCATCTTCTTACTTAACAAAACAAAAGTTGATGGACACAGACGGAGAGTCCCACACTGGTGTATCCGTGGTACAAAGATGTGAGATTGGGAACAAAGAAAGAAGCAGACCACAATGGGTGGCAGCACGTACCGATATTAAAAGGACCAGCAAATAGTGCAAAAGTAAGTTTGAGCAGGGAGGTTTTCTGTGCCTTTTGAAATGATGTAAAAGGAACACTGGAATCAGGCCAGAGGGGAGAAACGGTAGCCTCAAGGGGCTTTTGCTGGCTGCAGGACACCAGCCTGGTATCCTAGTATCATTCAAAAGCTGAACTGATTCATCCACACACACGAACATACAAACAGGAACACACACATTTAAAAAAATGGTTCCTGGAGTGGCAGCGTGTCCTCTTTTAATTCACCCCTAGCTCAATGCCATTTAGTTAGTTTTATTACTCCTTCTAATAAACGAGCTGGGGAGGTTTGCTATAAAAGGGTTTAATGGTGAAGAACCAATATGCAAGGTCCTAGAAATATAACAACACCTGTTACAACAAAGGTCCTTAACAATACGTGCCTGCTTTCTAGAGCTTTGGGGGGAACTCGTTAAACTAAGGGACACAGACATTCGTATGTGGGCTTATGTGCCTCTGAACTTCATTACCAGGTGCTTTGTTACAATGAAAGCAAGTCTCAGACTGAATTTGGCCATAAAATAAACATTTGGAAGCCAGCAGGCATGAAAAAGTTGTACAACCAGTTCTGTAAACTCAGTGAAGTACAGTTCTCTGTCCTACTGGCTCTCAGACAAATTCCTTGCATAACAGACTCGCTTAAGGCAGACGTGACAACATTCTAACAGCAAGATTTAGCTCCACATTCAGTCAGAGTCAGGTGAGAGAAACTTCCTACAAAGCTGTGGATACAGATCAGTTTCAAATCCTAAAACAGAGATTGCATTGGGAAGGGCATGCATTATCAACTGTGTTGATACTTTGTTTTGTTTTGGGGTTGTTTGTTGTTTGTTGTTGTTGTTTGTTTTGTTTTTAAGTAGGCTCCATGCCTAGCTCAGAGCTCAACACGGGGCTTGAACTCATGACCTTGAGATCAAGACCTGAGCTGATATCAAGATTCAGACTCTTAACTGACTGAGCCACCCAGGCGCCCCGATAATACCCTGTTTTAAGTAAGGTCAATTGTGTCTGATACAGTATTTTCAACAAACTCATGTATTTTGAACATCATTAATGCCACCAATGACCATTACTTCTAAGATCCATTATGCTAAACAACAAAGCCGTTGGTTCTTATGGGGAGTGGAGACAGGGGAAGTGCTTTCTAGCAGCCTCTAGAGCATCTGATACTCCTTCAAATTCCAACAAACGTTCCCTGGAGTGTGTATTCATCCTCTGGTAGAGTCTTTCAACATTACCTGCACCTGCACCAGAGACTGATCCCACACTGCCTGTGCTGAAGTCCTTTGAGGGTCATTGCAGACGTTATAGCATTTCTGTTAAGACATTTTATTGTTTCTAATCAGAGCCCAGTCAGGGGATGGGGGACCCAGACCTACAACTGGGCTCTGGACTTAAGAAAGCCCTCTCTCTCCTCTCTCCGTGGTCTGGAGTCTTGGACAGAATCTGCCTGTAGACAAACAGGCTTGTCTCCTCACACCTATGCCTTGGATCAGCCCTATTTCAAAGGTGATGCATTAAGAGCTCAGAGCTTGGTTCCTTCACCGGCTCATCAGTGCAATCTGCCCACGGAAGTGATTTTTTGCCTCAAGTAATTCATTTGAATTCCAACATTTTCTTTCCGAAACTCCTACATGACCTGATGTTTTATGATTTGCTAGGAAAGTGCCACAGTGTCAGCTCTGTTAACACCAGCCAAAACCCCATCATAAATACTACACTCAGCGGCCTTTGGCAAAGACACTCTTCTTGACCAAACTTTAGCCAGGCCCCTCTGAGCCCTCTTTCTCACTGGGCCTCACCAGTGGGCCCTGTCTTTGGCCTCCCTAGGCCAGTTGTAGCAAGAATCCTGCTAATCCTGTCACTTTAGTGACTTCCCCCACCCTTGATATCTGACCACCCTGGTCTGCTGTCAGCAAGAATCCTAAGTCAATTTAGCAAGAATCTCCTACCTGTAATGTCTCCTCTTAGTAATTTTTTTTCTTTTCTTTTCTTTTCTTTTCTTTTCTTTTCTTTTCTTTTCTT